AGGGGTGGGGGGAGAGAACATCTGTAATACTTCCAACAATAAAGATAAATTTTTAAAATATTTGTTTCTATTATATAACCTAGTAATTATATATTTAATAAAGTAACTTATATGTTACTTATCATAAGTATTATTATATAATACCAACATATGCAGTAATTATACAGTAAATCTTCATTTAATGTCAATAGGTTCTTGGAAACTGCAACTTTAAGCAAAACAACATATACAACAAAACCAATTCTGCTCAGTTGATTGGAGCATCCTCCTGTATACACCAAAAGGTTGCAGGTTCAATTTCTGGTCTAGTGTGGAAGGCAACTGATCTTTCTCAAGCTCTCCCCCTCTTCCCTCCCTCTAAAATCAATAAACATATCCTCAGGTGAGGATAAAACAAACAATTTTACCATAGGCTAATTGATATAAACAAAAGTTAAGTTCCTATGGCATATTTCTGGTCACAAAAGCATACCAAACTTATAAATAAAGACCCAAAACACTTACAGTATTAAACAGTGAAATAAATGTGAGCTATAAATTTAAGAAAGATCAATAAAAACAAGATGATTATTTTCCAACCCACTTTTTCTAGTTTAGGGTTGGGGTGACTGGAGTCTACCCTGGCAGCTCAGGGCAGAAGCCAACCCTGGACAGTATTGTCCCTTCACATCACAGGAAGCACACACTTACCCCCCCTCACTCACTCAGACTGGGACAATTTAGACATGCCAATTCATCTTTGGGATATGGAAGGAAACCAGGGTACCTACAGAAAGCCCATTCAGATATGAGAACTTGCAAACTGCACACCGACAGTGGCCCTGACTGGGAAAGGATTTGTTTTTCTTACCAACATTATTACAAAACAATGTTGAATGAAATTTAACTCAAGAACCTGCTATCTTATAGTAATAGCTCAGAAGTACACAGCATACAAATAAAGTAATAATTAACAGTTGATTATGTTTCAAACTTTATTTCCATTTTCAGTCACTTTTTATTAGCTGCTTCCAAAAATCGCAACAGGTGCAGGAAAAGATTGATGATATCCAAGTAAAGGTTGATGGCAGCTAATACATATTCCTCAGGTGACAGCCTATGCATCAGTGAGTGTGTGTCATAGATGATGAATCCACAGAAAAGAAGGGCTCCTACAGCAGCCACGACCAATTCCAGTGTCTCACTATAAAAAAATAACTGTAGGCAAGAGATTAAAGTAATAAATTTATATTTAAGAACAGTATTAAGCATACTTAAGTTACTTGCTCTTAAGTTACATATGCTACATACAGGGGTGGGCCAAGTAGGTTTATATTTGTGAGTACATGAAAACAGTTTATTATTTATTCTTGTTTTATATATTTTTCCATATGAACAACTGTAAACCTACTTTTGCCCACTCCTGTATATAACTAATAATGCTGTACAGCTTTGAATATAAATGTTAAAAGCAGACAAAGGCAAAGCAGGTCCATCCTGGCTTCCAATGGATGAAAGAATGAATAGATGAATCAATGGATATCCCCCTATTAAGTTACCCACTTGACTTTGAACAATAGCATTCCAAATATAAACTATTGGAAAAAATTTTGTTGTAATTACATGTGTCACTTGGAGATTAGCAATTACAAGTGAGGGCTCCTTCCTATGTAATTTAACTCATTTGTTCATCTTTCTTTCCATCAATAATACTGATTAACGTAAGAACTTGATTTTTCAAGATAACTTTATAGTGATTCTATATATAAATGTTTCAGATAATTATAACTAAGTATCCTATCATAAAAGTTTACCTCTTACAGCTTTTTGAGATTATTTATATTGACATGGCCAGAATTATATTTCAAGTTATCATTCTAAAACAACTCACCCTCAAGATTCCTGATATGCACAAAATCCACAAAACAGCAAACAGTCTGTGAAGACAAAATATTAATAATTTAGAATATTGTTCCTTACCAAAAAAACTTTGCAAGCCATTCAGCATTTTCTGAAGAAATAAATCCATCCTGATATTTGTCAAAGAATAATTTAAATGTAAGAATTCATACACATGCGATGAATAATGCAGAATACCCAGAAAGAAGACAGCTGTCTAGTAAATATTTGTCTTCATGGTGTACAAAACGAGTTAGGAGCATCAACTTTATAAGCTTTCCATTGAAACGCAAAGAAAATAACTGATGTAAGTAGAAATGCGTTAAAAGTATTTTAATTCAGAGATCTATAAAACTTCAGAAAATATATACATGAACAAATAAAAAGTAACTGCATTTTTAAACCAAATAACAACAAATTCTTCTGTGAACATACACACCCATTAAAGTTCCCAGTGTATTCTCTATTTTATTCTGATGTATTACAGAACTTAACTATGTACATAAAGTTTCCACTGTTATAATTTTACGAGTTACCATTCATACAAACACTATATACATATGGCAATCCTTTGTTATTAAATATGAGACTTAGAAGCCTGAATACACATCTGCTGTTTAGGCCACAAGTAAGTAAAGGGGCCAAATCTACCCTGTCTCCTTAAATAACAACCAGTCAAAATATATGAAACAAGTTCTCAGACACTGGATAGCAAGCAGCATGAGACACTGATTCCTGATGTAAGAGAAACAAAGGAGATGAACTCTAAGACTAACCCAGCTAGATAGTTTCAAGGCCACAAAGTAGGGACAGGAACCCATATGGAGCCTTGTGGTCAATTTGAGTAGGAGAAGATAAGAATTCAGAGTTGGAAGAGGCCAAAGTTCCAGAGAGAAGAGAGCTATACATAGAGCTAGCTAGCTCTGATGACATGCAGAGGGTTGCCCTCGAGTCTTCAGCCAAGTACTAAGCAAATCAATGTACACAGGTGAGGAAGTGGCCAAGGCTGAGAAACAATCACTACAGAGAAGCAGGTCGAACAATCCTCCAAGCTCACATAGGGCCAGGAATAGTTCACATTCACACCAGCCAGAGTGGAAAGACCTAGGATATGGGGGCTTTGAGTAGTCGTCAGAAGGGTACCGTCTCAATAATGGGGCCAAATTAGCTTTAAACTGAAAGCTCTTCTGGATCTGCCTAACAGAGCTTATAAATAAAGACTCAAAAGGTTCAGACAATTTACAAGGAACTTAGCTGCTTCCTAGAAGAACAAAGCCAAAAATATTTAAAGAAAAACAAAAAATTTCATCACTCAATAATGTAAAATTTACAATAACCAGCATCCAATCAAAAACTGTAAAGGCATGATAAAGAACCAAGGAAATGTAACTTATAACAAGGAGAGAAAAAAATCAATCAATAGAAACAAATTCAGAAGTGACACAAAAATGTAATTAGTAGACAATGACATTAAAAAATATATTCCAAAGAGGTAGAAGAAAGCAGCAGCATCAGAGAAATGAAAGATATTTTTTAAAAATACAAATTAAACTGAATTTCCATAGATTAAAAAATACAATATGTCAAATGAGAAATACTCTGATGCGGATTAACAGCAGATTACACTAAAAAAGAAAAGATTATTGAACTTGAAAATAGTAGCAGAAACTAACCAAAATGAATCACAGAGAGAAAAAGACTAGAAAAAAAGTAAACAAAGCATCAGTGAACCATGGAACAACTTCAAGATATCTAACGTATTTGTAAATGGTGTCTCAATGGAGAGGAGAAGGAAGGGGGAACATAAAAATATTTGAAGAAATAATGGCCCAAAATGTTCCAAACTTGATGAAAACTTTAAGTTGACATCCTAGAAGGTGGGCGGGATCAAAAACTATACCAAGGAATATTGTAATTAAATTACTGAAAATGTTAATCAAATAACAGAAAATCTTTTTTTTTAATTGATTTTTCATTATTTAATTTGGAAGAAAAGAGAGAAAAAATTTTAAACCTTTTTTCTTATACATATATTTAGGTGGTCATGTTAAGAAAAGTGCCACCCTCAAAATAAATGACAGATAAAACATTAAAACATTTGTCACTTTGAAAAAAATATTACAATTAGTAAGGAAATAACTACAGACTGAAATAACAGAATAGGTAATTTTTAAAGCCAAATTTTATTTTATTATTATTTTTTTAATGTTTCTTTATCTTTATTGTTGAGACCATTACAGATGTCCCCCTTTTAACCCCACTGATCCCCTCCACCCCACATCCATCCTACCCCCAGGCTCTCCCCATACCATTGTCAATGTCCATGGGCCATGCCCATAAACATACAAGTTCTCTTATTAATCTTTCCCCACCCACACTCCCCTCCCTGCCTTCCCTCTGAAATCCCTCAGTTTGTCCCAAGCTTCTTTGGATCCACTTTGTTCATCACTTTATTTTGTTTATTATATTCCACATATAAGTGAGATCATTTGGTACTTGTCCTTCTCTGTCTGGCTTATTTCACTTAGCATAATACTCTCTAGTTCCCTCCATGCTGTGCCAAAGGCCAAAAGGTCCTTCCTCTTCACAGCCACATAGTATTCCATGGTGTAAATGTGCCACAGCTTTTTTATCCATCTACTGATGGACACTTGGGCTGTTTCCAGATCTTAGCTATTGTGAATTATGCTGCTATGAACATAGGGGTGCACAAGTTCTTTGTGATTGGTGTTTGGGGTTCTTAGGATATATTCCTAGAAGTGGGGTCACTTNAGACAGGGGTCAAATGGCAGGTCAATTTTTAATCTTTTGAGGAAATTCCATACTGCTTTCCATAGTGGCTGCACCAGTCTGCATTCCCACCAGCAGTGTACTAGGGTTCCCTTTTCTCCACACCCTCGCCAGCACTTGTATTTCGTTCACTTGATAATGGTAGCCATTCTGACAGGTGTGAAGTGATACTCATTGTGGTTTTAATTTGCATTTCTCTGATGATTAGAGACGTTGAGCATTTTTTCATATGTCTGTTAGCCATTTGTATGTCCTCTTTGGAGAAGTGTCTATTTAGGTCGATTGCCCATCTTTTAATTGGATTGTTTGTCTTCCTTTTGTTAAATTGTATAAGTTCCTTATATAGTTTGGATATTAACCCTTTATCCGATGTGTCATTGGCAAATATGTTCTCCCATACAGTGGGCTCCCTTTTCATTTTGTTGATGGTTTCCTTTGCTGTGCAAAAGCTTTTTATTTTGCTGCAGTTCCATTTGTTTATTTTCTCCTTAGTTTCTCTTGCCCTAGGAGATGTATCAGCAAACATATTGCTATGACAGATGTCTGAGATTTTACTGCCTATGTTTTCCTCTAGGATGTTTATGGTTTCATGCCTTACATTTAGTCTTTTATCCATTTTGAATTTACTTTTGTGTATGGTGTAAGTTGGTGGTCCAGTTTCATTTTTTTGCATGTATCTGTCCAATTTTTCCAACACCATTTATTGAAAAGACTTTCTTTACTCTATTGTATGTTCTTGCCTCCTTTATCAAATATTAATTGACCATAATGGCATGGGTCAATTTCTGGGTTCTCTGTTCTGTTCCACTAATCTATTATGTCTGTTCTTGTGCCAGTACCAGGCTGTTTTGATTACAGTGGCTTTGTGGTATAACTTGATATCTGGTATTGTGATCCTTCCAACTTGGTTCTTCTTTCTCAGGATTGCTGTGGCTATTTGGGGTGTTTTCTGGTTCCATACAAATTTTTGAAGTGTTTTTTCTAGATCTATGAAATATGCTGTTGGAATTTTAATAGGGATTGCAGAAAATCTTAAAGATAGCTAAGGAATAAAAGACATTATGTACGAAGGAACAAAGATAAGAAAGACAGCAGACTTTTTGTCAGAAACTACACAACCTATTTCAAAAGGTTAAAAAAAAAGCTAAGACCAACAGACCAGCACTGTAAGAAATGTTAAAAGGAAATCCCTCAGGCAGAAGGAAAATATTAGATGGAAATTGGTTCTACACAAAGAAATAGAGAGCAACAGAAATGGTAAATATGTGCATGAACATAAAAGACATCTATTTTTTAAATCTTTTTAAAAGATAATTTAATGTTTAAAGCAAATTAGTTTTTAACATGTAGAACTAAAAGTTATGGTGCAGCCCGGCCGGGCGTGGCTCAGCGGTTAAGCGTCGACCTAGGATCCAGGCGATCAGGGTTCGATTCCCGGGCAGGGCACATGCCCGGGTTCCGGGCTGCAGCCAATCAATGACTCTCTCATCATTGATGTTTCTAGCTCTCTCTCTCTCTCTCCTTTCCTCTCTCTGAAATCAATAAAGATATATTTAAAAAAAAGTTAAAAAAATAAAATAAAAGTTATGGTGCAGAGGTTAGGGAGAGCAGATATAAGTATACTATACATGAAATGGTATATTATTGAAGATAGACTATAACAACTTAAACATGTATACTGTAAAACCCAGAGGAACCTCTGTTTAAAAGAGCTATAGCTATTAACCATAAAGGAGATGACTGGAATCAAATACTCAGTCCCAAAGAAGGAAGGAAAGAGGGAAAAAGGGTCAAAGAACAGATAGAATAAACAAAAAGCAAAAGACAAGATGGTAGGCTGAAACACAGCCATATAAATGGTCTAAAGACACCAGTAAGTAGGAGAAATGGTCAGGTTGGATTTTTAAAAAATAATTAAGCAAGATCCCAGTATATGATATGCTACCTACAAGAAAACCATTTAACAAGAACAAATAAGCTAAAAAATAAAAGGATGGAAAAAGATATACCATGCTAACACAATCAAAAGAAAGCCAGGGTAACTATATTAAAAAAGTAGATTTTAGGGCAAGGATGCTCCCAGAAATAGCCCCTTCATAATGATAAAGGGCTTATTAATACGGTATTAACAATCGTAATTGTTTGTGCATCTAAAATCAGAGCTTTAAATAACATGAAGCAAACTTATAGAACTGATAAGAGAAATAGACCAATCAATACCACTTTTACACCAATTGATAGAATAAGCAGGCAGAATATTAGTAAGCATACAGTATTATCAGCCAATGTGACCTATTTGACATTTTTCAAACGTTCACCCAACAGCAAAATACACACCTAGTACACAAAGAATATTAACCAAGACACCATAAAATAAATCTTAATAAGTTCAAAAGGACTGAAATCATATAAAATATGTTCTTTAACAACAGAGTTAAATCAGAAATTAAATATACATTTATATTACAATACAGTATAGTGAACTGAGGGTATGGTGAGATTCCAGCCCTCAGTTCTCTTGCTGGAAATGGCCACAAAACTTCTCAGGATACATCTGGGATACTTAAGTTAGAATATAGTATCCCACCCACCTCATAGCACAGATCCTTCAGGACTGAAAAGGACTCAGGACTTGCTTTTTCATACTTAGACCCTAGGGAAACCCCAAAGCTTCTGCACCAAGAAGTATGGGAAGGTGGGATTAAGAACTGTAGAGCATCTGAGGTTTTACCTTCCTTACAAGCTAAAAAGTGAGCCTGGCACAACTTTGTGGATGCTGGTAGAACACAAGAGACTCCTAGGTCTGAGATGAAGGACAGTTTATTACAGTAACAGTAGCTGAAGAACAGGCATAGTAGATAGGTGTTGTGGGAGTAAAGAAATGAGAGAGCTAAAAGGATAGAAGGTTGAAGAAAGAAAGTGGGCTGTTGGCATTTACGATTTGAGAAATGGAAAAAATCCTTAGTGAAAGCAAGGTCCACAAAATGGCTATGGCAGGGAATGAAAGCTGCTGCAGAAGAGGTCCAGAGACACTGAGAGGTGAAGGTGATGGACGGGCGTAACGTGTAGTTTGATGCTAAAGTCTTTAAAGAATGAGGAGGCTTAACCAAAAAAGGGACCAGTGACAGTAAGGAGAAAGGGTAGGGAGTCTGTCACCAGGTAGCAAAAGCCTTAAAGCAATGAGTTTCTGTTATGCTGAAGGAGTAATGAAAAGTGGCAGCGGGACTGAAGCAGTTTTCAACACTAACCCCCCACCCCAAGCTATACAGGGTTTGGAAGAATGAGCAGCTGGAGAACAGTTCTCAGGGAGGAATCAAGTCTCAGCTGAGATAAGAAGAAAGAATATATTAAGAAGAAGCTCAAATATAGGGGAGATTATTTACCAGGAGCTCTAGAGACTACAGAATGGATGGGAAGGTGGGGAGCAGCTGGAGATTGGGATAGAAAGAAACAGACAGCAAACCTTTCACCATATATACCCACAAATATGTATGAAACATCCTTCCCCCCAAAAATAAGGAATCAGAAAAAAATGTTACCTCTCCCTAAATCAAACTCCATTTTAATAAAACTATATGTACATCTTGCACAATTATCAGTGTTGCCTAACCAACTATATTTTATCCCAACAGAGATTTCTGGTAGTACGGATTACCAAGAGGGAAAGAGGGAGAGGAAAGAAAGTTTTGCAAGAGTAGACTTTTGTAAATTTTTAGTGTTGTAACAGGAGAAAGAACAGAAAATGGTTGGGCGATTATGTGCCAACAGGGAGCCAGGGTGATCTTAGAAAAAGAGTCTATTCATTCTTACCCAGTGAGGGCAACACAGCACCATTATTCTAATATAAAAAGCATCATTCCATGTATCTATTTGTTTGAAGAAGAATACAGGTTAATCAAATGGATCAAAAAAGTTTTAAGGTTCATGCAGACATCTCCAAAACCTTACTTTCACCACAGATGTGTATGGTCTTGGTAACACTTATGTTAAGTCAAAGACCTAAATAACTTAGGCAAATTCCATACCATTCATAAAGCACACAAGCCTAGCCTCTCAAGAAAGCTGATTTTTTTTTGGCATTCACTTCCCTTTCAACATAAAGGGGAAGGAAATGACTCAAAGCTACTTTCCATGTCCTTGGATTTTCTGAGAGAGTAGGGCCTGGTTCTAGAACTCAGAGATGACCTTTCATTATGCTCTAGTTAAAAGGCAGTATCCAAAGCTAACAGTATAGCACTCCTCTCTAAAGCATCTAAAAGTAAAGATATCTATCATAGCCATGAATATATAACTTACCCTGCTCCAAATTTGCTGAAATCTTTCTTAGACTGTAGGGTATACATAGTCAAACCAAGAAATACTGCAGTAGTCAATACAAAAGCTTGCAGAATAATATATACATCATAGAAAGTAACTGTAAAATAAAATAAAAAACACTGATTAAAATGCATATAAACATAATATAAAACAGCTTTTTTTCTGGGATTTAACTGAAATGTTTTATTTTCTCCTGTACTACTTGCCAATAAAAACAATTATGAAAAGATTCCTTTTTCAGCCTTGAATATGGATTGGTACAGTAAAATTACACCCATAATGCAATAACTAGGCTCCAAAATATTCATTAATGCAAAATAAGGAGGTCACATTATTATGAAGTTAAAGAAATAACTGGAGATTATGCAGCTAGGCAGTTAGGAGTTTTAGGGATATGGTGGAATGATTCTCATCCAACCCCTGTTCCAGCTGCAGTTTACCATCTGTGGTGATTGTCCACCGTGGCTTAGATATCAATAGAGAGGATTTTGGGTCCTGTGGCTGGCTAGGAATTCCTGAATAGTACAAACAGTTCTAGCAAGCACCTGGTTAATTGCACCCAGTTCATCAGCCCAGATCAAAGGAACTGGGCAAGAAAACTGTTGGGGCTATCTTGCATTGTCTGCCATTCACCAACCCTGTAGAGAATAGAAACCAACCACTATTTGCTCTATATCCAAACCTTCATTATCTTGGAGTACATCATCATGGTTTTACTGAATATATACCAAATTCCCTTCCATAGTTTTAGAATGACCTTCTGGATTGACTATAGCTATTGTAATACAAGTGCTTAACATTTTAAGAGAATGATAAATTACAACCTCATTAAGGGAAGTTAATTGCTTTGTTACTAACCACTTAAGTTATTTTTAATTTTTCAGGGATTAATTATTCCAAGTTCTTTCTATTCCTAAATGCTACATTATTGGAATTTCTCCATTTATGCCATTACAGGGTTAGGAAGGTGAATGCAGAAAGATAAAACATGAAATCACTTTTGCTTCTTGTCAGTAATTTCAGTGTAAGATGTTCTCAGATTACCCCATCTATGTATTTCTACCACCAATTCCAATAACACTGAAATAAAACTCTTTCCTACATCCCTTACAAATGGTAGGAGTCAGGGAGGACAGAGATGGATGTCATAATAACATTAATAGTAAGTTAACATTAATAGATAATAAACCTAACAATAAGTAAATATTAATACTTCCTATGTAATAAAATTTCAATCTTATTTATTTCTGTAGTTATTATGTTCTTATATTCTGATTCTTTTATAAAAGAGATGGATTACCAAACAATACATACATTCAATAAACTGGCATCAAAAGGTTAGAAAAGTACTGACAAGATAGGAAGAGATAAACATATTAACCATGCGAATCAACAATTTATTGAGAGTAATAGTTAATGCTGACCCTTTTGATATCCTAAGTTAATCATTTTGCGACAATCAGAATTTTTACTGTTAATAAATCATTAAATTTCTTACTTGAGTCATTACATAGGGTACATCAAGTAATTATAACAGACACTTCCTTTCAAACACTATTTAACACCAAATACAAAACAGAAATTACTACTGTTTTTTGTGGGGCCATTTGATAAAATATGAGGATATATATATAATAATAAAGCACAGTTTGATGCAGGCAATTCAAGAGGCTGAGCACGTGATGAAAGTACTTGGCTCAAAACATATTATGAGCTCCTCTAAGAGCCCTTTAAATTAAGGAAAAGATTAGCTATGATTGTCTTCTTTTTATAAATGGATAAACACAAATGAATATTGTTCTTTATTCCCATTGTTTTTCTAATTGTTTTCCACTTCCTCTAAGCTCAGTTGAACTATGTAAAATAAAAACATTTAATTTTGCCTATATTTTAGGAATTCTTTATCCTATACCATATTTTTGAAATATGACATTCCATGATGTTAAGCTTTAGCTCCTAATACCTTTTACCCAGAATATTTATCCACATTAAAAAGTAACTGTAACATATAGCTTACCAACAAAGGCCAAAGTCAGAGCTTCCGAGAGTGTCTAAGAAAAAGAAATTGTAATTACATAAATGCATAAAAAATTTATACTATCATGTACATGGCTCTAATTTTCTAGTTCAATATGATTCATATGCATGGTCTCATTTAAGCTTCAGAGCAGCCTTCTGAGGTAAATGGGACATATAAGTCTACCACACAAAAATGAGACCTCAACATTTTGAGTGAGAATCGTGATCCCATCACTCCTTAAACTCTAACTAGATTTTTCATTCATATCTGTAAGAGGAAGGTTATAGAAATAGTACAGAACATTTTATTTCTCTCACTCAGTATAATATAAATAAAAATGAAATTGCAGCCTGGCCGGGCGTGGCTCAGTGATTGAGCATCGGCCTAGGATCCAGGAGATGGCTGTTCGATTCCTAGTCAGGGCACATGCCCAGGTTGCGGGCTCAGGAGGCAGCCAATCAATGACTCTCTCATCATTGATGTTTCTATCTCTCTCTCCCTCTCCTTTCCTCTCTTTGAAATCAATAAAGACATATTTAAAAGAAAAAATGAAATTGCAAATCATGTGCACATTTATAAAAACTTAAATATCTCAAACATAGGAATACTGAGTATTTATATTTAATTACTAATTCTTAATTTAATATTGAATATATAAGTAGCACTTTGGTGTGGCAGAGTCTTAAAACTATCTCACAATATTCTCTCCCTTAGTAACAGAATTTTTACCTGGACACACAGCTACTCAGATTAAACATTACATTTTTCAGTATCCCTTACAGCTAGATCTGGCCACAGGACTATATTCTAGCCAATAGAGTGTGAGTAGAGATGTGTATAACTTCTAAAAGCAAAGAGGCTTCCTCCTCTTTCTCATTTACAAAAAATAACTGGATCGAATACAGACATTATGGGGAGCATCTTATACCATACAACACTTTAGGGATACCTGGACCTTAGCAGGTACCTGGGCCTGACAACTCCACTAAACAGTCATTCATATTTTTTACATGAAGGAGAAATAAACCATCTTGTTTAAGCCACTGTTATTTTGTCATTGTTTAAGCCATGTCACAAGTAGCTGAACTCAAATCCTAAATAAAAGATCTAGGGATATTGAGCTTTAACCTCTAGCTTCTTTTCCCTCTTAATTACATATCTATTTTGTCTTATATGCTTACTCTAGTTGGATTTTTATCAACCATCTGATAGACCATATCATAAAAGCCAGAAGTAACAGCAGTAGCTGTATAATCATACATAGAAGCACTCCCTATAAACCTTCCCTACCTAAAATCAAAAAATTAGAACCAGAGCAAAAATGGTATTAGAAACTGTACATAGATGTGGGGGCAATGAAGCCACTGCCACATTTTGTTACAATGTTGTTGGTAGTGTCAGGGAAGTAGTAGCAAAAGATGACAGAAATATTTCTTCTGGGCAACATTCTTGATATTTGTGACATGATTTTAGGTAAGAAATCCTACCCCCATACTCAAGTATCAGAAGGAAAAAGAACAGTATAAACAGGAGAACAAGTAAAACTAGGAAAACAAAGCATCCCAAAATAACGCCCCTTTTTAAGTGTGTGTACACACACACATGCCCCCTAAGGCAAGGTGAGATCCCTCTCCTTCCTTATTTTGGTGGAATAGGAAAAAATAACTTAGTATCAGAGGTCTCTGAGTAATCAGAAATGCATTTTACATACTTCCTTATTTGTTAAACCATTTTTAGCTATGGGCATGATCAATAGTTGTAGCAGTAAGTGACCCTATCTTGCCCATAAGCGTTTGGCTGATGCTTTTCCTCTCACTGCAGGGCAAAAGCTGGCCGATACCATTGTCCACAAAGAACTGAATCACAGTCTTGCTGAAAGCAGACTGGCTATCTGTAGAATTGAACAGGAACTCAACATGACGCTGTTTCTTTTTGTACTTCCTCCTCAGGACAGCTGACTGGGACAGGAGTTAGCATGTAACCCAGGGGCTATCAACCCATAGTGGCTAACAATCTACAATGTGACCTGTGCCATTAATCAGATTCTTTCTCACTTAGACATCTCAACTCAAAATAAAGCAGTGGTAGCAGGAGCTAAAGCTAAAAGGTTAATGAATCATATGAGGGCCCCCAATGGGTCATATAAAAACTAAAGGGGAAAACTATGTGTAAGGACAGCTGTAAGGAAGAGAAGAAATGTAATGGAAGAAAGGAGAGGAGACTACAAACTCTTGCTGTTGAATTTCCTACAATAGCATCATTTCTAGAACCTTCCTTTGGTTCCTTTTCTTTTTGAGGTGTGAAGGGGTGGGGTGGTGGGTTCCCAAGCTCTTATATCCTTAAAATAAACTCCCCGCTACTAGCAATAACTTCGGTTAGGGTATTGATACCTGCAAACAGAAGAGCCTGAGATTTAAATGAATAACCTTTCCTATAATTGTAATTTCCAAAGTCATGAGCTTTTCTTTCATAATATTAACAAAAACTTGTTATCAGAATTCATAAAACTTACTTTAAGGCAGTTTAATCTGATAAGTAGCAGTTACAATCTTATTTGACTATAAATATTCTTAATATTAGTTTGGAAAGTTTTGATGTAAATTTTTAAGTCAGAACCTAAGTCACACTGAATATAAGAATGGGAAAAGTAATTTTTAAAAATATATAATTTGCCCAGCTGGCGTGGCTCAGCAGTTGAGCATCGACCTATGATCCAGGAGATCACGGTTTGATTCCCAGACAGGGCACATGCCCGCGTTTCAGGCTCAATCCCCGGTAGGGGTCATGCAGGAGGCAGCTGATCAATGACTCTCACATTATTGACGTTTCTATCTCTCTCCCTCTCCCTTCCTCTCTCTGAAACCAATAAACACATATTTTATATATATATATAGGAATATAAATATAACATATTATATATATTATAGGAATATAAATACTAAAGGAACAGATACACGTGTGTGTGTGTGTGTGTGTGTGTGTGTGTGTGTGTGTATATTTATATGTATATAACTTGAGGCCTTACCAACTCATTCTGATCATATTCTGAGATTGAGTTTTTATAGGTAGTAGTTTGGGTTTTAATTGTCACAAATATCTCAGCAAACAACTTAAACTTGAGCTCCCCCAACGATTTTGAAACTAGTAAAGCACATCAATTGAACAAAATGGTCCTTTAAAAGAACAGTCATAAGATAAAAATAACATTGAGGAGTTAGTTATAAATTTAAGGTCAATGAAATTAAGGCCACAGTATAATTTTTTCCCCAAGAAAAGCACAGAATATTAGGGATAGAAAGTATCACAGGGATAATCTACTTTAAAATTTTCATTTTACATCTGAGAAAACTTAGGTACAGAAAGGCTAAATGCCCTGACAAATGTCACATAACCAGATAGTGGCAAAGCCAGGTTATGTGATTACAATTCATTATTTTTTCAACTGGATCATAATACTGACAGAAAAAACTGTGAAACTAAGTTTAAAAATTCTTACAGACTAGGAGATTATAAGTAATTTCCTAAAATATTCAAAATTTTAAAAAACTCATTTTGTTCTGCTACTATTTATATATATGCATTCAATTAGGTAAATAAATGTAAAACTCAGTAATAAATATTAAAGGAACAGATATGATCAAAGTACTCACAAATCCAAAAAGCAGGTACAGGTTAAGGGGATGCTTATGTCTGTTTAGAGTCAATGCAAAAATCAAACCCAGAGATCCAATGGCAAACACCAAAATTAAAGCAGGACTGAAAGACATAAAATTAAAAGCAGTTTCAAGTTAAAAAAAATAACAGCATATATAGTATTACCAAATTTAATAAAATCTGCCTGTTTTATGTGTTTGTAAAAGTACAAAAAATATCTGAAAGGATCCACACCAAACTGTCAAAAGAAATTTTTTTTCCATCTGGGAAACTTGAGGAGTGTGAGATGGAGGAGCGCAAGACAAAGAAAAGGGCCCTCAATGCAAGGGAAGACTTCACTTTTTACTTCATGAACTTCTATCATATTTGATTAATATTTTAATTAGCATACTGCTTTTTTAACTAAAATACAAAGAAAAGCTATTAAGTAAGGAAAAAACTTTATACCTAACTCCTTTTCTAGGGCACTTACTATATAGCTCATTTAAATTAAAGATCTTTACCCCAAGGAGCAAACTAATAGTTCAGGGCTCCCCTGCTGGAGGGGAGGGAGGATAGAAACTACCTATTCCTAAGAAAAGATATATTCCTTATTGTTCCTTTCCTTTAATATAAACACTATATATTACTTTTAGCCATAAAAATAATTATTTTGGAGGTCTGATCTTAAACAAATTTGCTATAAATAATTTGGAGGGACTTTGAAAACTTTTCAGTGAAATTATCCTAGTCGTGAGCCAACACTAAGATAAGTTAAAAACACATTTATTAAATACCTTTATTTTTCTATTAGGCTTTGGGGACAAGGCATAAAGTCTAATAAAAGCAAAAGAATTAATACTTAAAAACTATACTGTAAAAATCCTTGCTATGATTCAAGGAGATTAGGGTTTAGCCCTACGAAACTATAAGCTAAAAAGTTCAGAGGTAAATACCATATTGTAGAATGCTTTCCTTATCTAAACAAAACTAATATTATTTACAAAAGTTAATAATGAAACTTTTTACATTCAAACATATAAAGTAAGCAGAAAATAAAGAACTTTGCTTGTGCCCTTTTGATCATAAGCAATGGCTGGAAGTGATTCAGAATCATCTTACCTTTCATGTACAAATGTCCGTATAGACTCAAAGTATAAAAAAAATGCAGATGTCACTGTAGTTAAGAGAATTTGCAGAGAAAGGATGCTGTAGACTTTTCTTAGAAAGGCTAAAAAAGAAAAAATTTACATATAACTATTTTATTAAGCATTTATCATAGAACAGCAAGATCAAATTTCTTATTAAATTTTTATATGTATTCTTTCTTAAATATTAATCTAAATAATGTAATCTGTAACTAAAACATAAAGAAAATGTTTCAAAAGGAAAAAAAATTATAAGTGGTAACTATCCTTCAAGAAGCATGAACTTAAAAAAATTTTAACTTAATGGGCTAGAACCTAAATGTATGTTTTCATCAAAATAAAAAGAAAGTACTAAAGGCATATTTGTAAACAGCAGCATACAACAGAACAAGATTAAAAACAGAACATTTTAAAAGAATGATTAATCTTGAAACTGAAATGCAGAACAGAAAGCATATGATTACATATACACTTTCAAAGCAGTACAAATGTTTCCCTAAAATTAACTTCCCCTTAAAAGGCAAACAATATATAAACTTACTTTCACTCACCTATTTTTATTTCTCACAGCACCTCTGCCTCTAGTTTCTATACAATAAGAAATTCTTACTTTCACAATATTTTATCAACATCCATAAATTAACTCCAAGGCCTAATGATTTAAAAAACCTTATTAAAGTCTTGATATACAAATAATATAAATAATACGCTGGACACCAATTCACTACCAGTTTCAGAAATAAAACATTAGCAACACTTCCCACCTCCTCTATGTAAATATACTGATAACATCCTCTGCCTTCACCACCTTAGCTAAATGCTAATCATCATTCAAGACCCAACCTTTCTCACTTCCCTAGTCTGAATTAAATGTTCTTCCTCATGTTCCCAAGGGACACTAAACATACTTCTAATCGCTTTATTATTTTTATTTTTTTAATCCTCACCCAAGGATATGTTTTTATTGATTTTAGAGCAGAAAGGGGAGAGGGAAACATTGCTCAGCGGCGCCCCAACCAGGGACCAAACCTGCAAGCTTTTGACATATGGGACGATTATGCCCGGCTCGGGCATAATCACTTTACTTTATAATTGGTAAATCCTACTTGTCCTTCACTCCCATTAGTCTATTAAGAGTAAAATCTCCCTAATAATACGGAGCATGTCTTATTCATTTTCATTACACTAGTACTCAGCCAAATAAATGTATACTGAATTAATGAAAGGTGCATTTTGCCAGTCAAGGAAGAAAAAAGGAAGAATACACACCAGGGTGTTAATAATGGTTTTCTTTGGGCACTATCACTGAGGATGACTTTCATGTTCAGTTCTTTGCTAATCTGTGTTTTTTATATACAACTAATAAATATTTATTACTTTTGTAATTGAAAACATTTTACAGAAACCTGTGCTAAGCCAAAATAAACCTTACACAGATATTTCAGATCACAGGTTTTTCTATTCTCTTTAAAAATGGCGCCTTAAGTCAAATCCCAGGGAAAAGCAACATTTGATACCCATTTTGAATAACTAATATAAAAAGTGGCAAAGGATATGCATATACAGATCACATGGAAAAAGAAAAGATCCAATATGAAAATACAAGCCCAACAGCAATATCTTTTCCCCCCAAGTCCTGATTTCACTCCTATTTGACATCTCAAAGTTAAGATGGCTAAAACAGGGACTCTTCATTTCTACCCAAATCTTCCCTCTCCCAGTTTTCTCCTGTTACTAGACCCAGCAACCACCAAGCCAAAAATGTAGGAGTCATCTGTGATTCCCCTCCCTCCTCCCAATTCATTAACAACTACTACAACTTCCACTTGCAGTGTAGGACACATCCACCTCTTGGTTTCCTCTGCCACCTCTCTAGTATGATCTTGCACCTGGACAACTGGAGTAGCCTAACTGGTCTCCACCCTTTCACTCTAATCCCACCTAATTTATGCTCCACACAGCTGTCAGAGTGATCTTTTTTGTAAAATAAACCATATCCTGTGATTCCCTGCTTTAATACTTTCAATCGTTTCCTTTACACCTAGAATAAAATTTAAAAGCTTTTATGGGGCCTACAAGGCCCAGCATGATATATAGAACCTTTCCAACCTCACCTCATACCACTCTTCCTTTTCCTCATATGCTTTACCCACACTAGCCACCTTTCTGTTCCCTAAACATGCCAAATCCTTCCTTCTGGGCCTTTGCCCTTGCTGTTTCCTCTGCCTGGAATGCCCTTATCTTCTTTACATGGAATGGTGGTTTAACCTATGTCCACAATTTTTGACATTTCCTTCAAGTGGCTCACTTCTAACAAAAATAAGGCAGAAGTTGCAGTATATGTTTTATCTAATGGAATGCACCTTAATAAGAATCGTAGGAGAACCACAAAGTTTATTGAATAATTTTATTGGCAAAAGTCCACCAAATTATGCCTGTCCTACCATTGTGTATTGGGTGTGTGGGCACAAATAATTTGTCTCTTTAGTGCCAAAGTGTTCGAGAGGGTCTTGGCTTGCATGTGTAAGGAAGAAAAATAATTTCTGGCTAGAGGGAAAACTGTGGTGGTTTAAAACATGCCTAAAAATTATTTGACACCACCTTCAGAAGATGGAGCCTTAATTCCCCTCCCCTTGAATGTGGACTGAACTTAGAGACCTGCATCTAATGAATAGAATGATGGAGATGTGACAGTGTGTGTGATTACCATGACAAGGTCATAAAAGGCTCTACAGCTTCCTCAACACTTCCTCACGGATTGCTTACTCTGGGGGAAGCTAGCCGCCATGTTGAGGACACTCAAGCAGCCCATGGTGTGGGTCCTGTAGCAAGGAACCGAGGCCTTCTGTCAATAGCCATATTAGTAAGATTTCCTGGTAGCAGATCCTCCTGCTCAGTCAAGCCTTTTGCTGATTGCAGCCCCAGCCCACATCTTGACCAGAATCTCATGAGACTCTGAACCAGACAGAACAAACTAGCTAAGTCCGTCCCAGATTCCTGATTCTCAGAAATTATGTGAAATAATAACTGTTTGTTGTTTTAAGCTACTAAATTTTGAGGTAATAGTCTATAAAGCAAGATAACAAATACACCTGGCAAGCTCTTTCTCATACAACTGCCATCTCCTAACAACTCTTTAATAAAATAGCTACCACTCTGTTTTTCTATCACTGTTTATTTTCTTCAGAGAACTTATCACAGCTAGTAGTCTATTTATTTGCTTACCTCTTTAGGTTCTGTCCCCCCTTCAATCCCTGAATCTCCCAACTCCCAATCCAAATGACACTCTTGAGGACTGAAATATCCCTATCAGTGAATAGGGATCTGTTCACTGATCCCTATTATCAGTAGAGCCCAATAAAGTTTTGTAAGTGAAGGAAAATGTTCACCTTCACTCACATAGCTAAATGAATGCAAATTAAAACAAGATAACATATTTTACCTACCAAAATGTCAGCCAAGTATGGCCCATTGGCCAAATTCAGCCCACCACTTGATTTTGTAAGCAGTTTTATTGGGCACAGCCACACTCACTCATTTATGTATCCTCTACAACTGATTTGTCACTACAATGGCAGAATTGAGTAGTTGCAACAGATACCTTATGGCTCCATAAAACTGAAAATATTTACTATTCAGGCCTTTGTAGAAAGTGTTTGCTAACCCCTCACGTACCAGATTGCCAGATATTAAAAAGTTTGATGATATTCAGTGTTGGTGAGGATGCAAAAAAGTGATCCTCATATATTGTTTCCCTGGAGAGTCATAAGGGCAATGTCTTTGGAGGACAGTTAATGACATCAATCAAATTTAAAATATACATATTTTAAAATTTATCTTTATTGTTGAAAGTATTACAGGTATCGCCCCTTTTTCCCCTCACTGATCCCCTCCAACCCACATCCGCCACCCCCAGGCCTTCACTACACTATTGTCTGTGTCCATGGGTCACGCATATATGCATATAAGTTCCCTGATTAATCTCTCCCCACCCACTCGCACCTTCCCACTGAAATTCACTAGTCTGTTTCATGCTTCTATATCTCTGGATCTATTTTGTTCCTCAGCCTATTTTGTTTATTAGATTCCACATATGAGTGAGATCATGTAAAACTGAATCAGGAACAGAAAACCTGAATAGGCTAATAGCAACTGATGAAATTGAAGCAGTAATAAAAAACTCCCAGCAAACAAAAGCCCTGGTCCAGACTGCTTCACAGGGGAGCTTTCTAATTCTTCAAGTTGTAGGGCTAGTTTACTAAAAATTTTTCTTGATTTCTGAGGTAGGCCTGTAGTGCTATGAACTTCCTTCTTAGGACTGCTTTCTCTGTGTCCCATAGGTTTTGGGTTGGTATGTGTTCATTTTCATTTGTTTCCAGGATGTTTCNTTCCAGGACGTTTCTGATTTCTTTCTTGATCTTATTGGTAGCCCATTCATTGTTTAATAACATGTTATTTAGCCTCCGTGTGTTTGAATGTTTTTGAGTGCTTTTACTGTAGTTGATTTCTAATTTCATGCCATTGTGATCTGAGATGCTTGATATGATACTAACCTTCTTGAACTTGTAGAGACTTGCTTTGTTTCCCAACATGTGGTCTATCTTTGAGAATGACCCATGTGCACTTGAGAGGAATATACATTCTGCAGCTTTGGGGTGAAATGTTCTGTAAATATCAATTAAATCCATCTGATCTAGTGTGCCATTTAGAGTCTGTTTCTGTGTTGATTTTTTTGTCTGGAAGATCTATCCAGTGAAGTCAGTGGAGTGTTCAAGTCCCCGACTATGACTGTATTGCTGTTGATCTCTCCCTTAAAGTCCTTAAGGTTATTATTATTATTATTTTTAAACATATCTGCATTGATTTCAGAGAGAGGAAAGGAAGGGGGAGAGAGAGAGAGATAGAAACATCAATGATGAGAGTGTCATTGATCGGCTGCCTTCCCCGTAACCTGGGCATGTGCCCTGACCAGGATTCGAACCCTGATCTCCTGGATCCTAGGTCGATGCTCAAGCCACGCCTGGACAGGCCTTAAGGTTATTATTGCTAGGTCCTTATTTATTGCCATTTTAATTCTTTATGCCTATGT